AAATAAATAAATAAATAAATAAATAAATAAATAAATAAATAAATAAAATGTCTATGCCTTCCACCTATGGAACTGCTTCCGGAATCAAGGTGGAGGGAGCGATATTCCCTTACGTGTTTCAATCATCGACCATTGCTGAGCCAACGGATTATGAAACCGAATTTCTCCTGCATAGTCCGATCACAAAGTTCAAATAAATAAATAAAAATAAATAAATCATAGGTTGAGAGAGAGAAGGACTGGCTCAATGTAACCAAGATGACTTTCATGCCTAAGGTGGGTTCTACAACTCATGGTCTTCTGGTTTCTATCTTGGTGCCTTAGCCACTAGAGCAAATTGGTTCTGTCATATAGTATCTGAATACTGCACACCAAATAGTTTATTTTAACCATGTCTTTAATAATACTCTTTTTTTGTAATAATTTAATCGACCCATTTCATTTCTTAATGCTTAAGCAACATTTTAGGCCTTGCAAATTATTGCCATTGTTTAGCAAATTCTGAGGAGTGCTATGTGATCTGATGTCCTGTTGGCATTGGGACTGCACTTTCTAGGAAAACGGTAGCTGGATGCTTGGTCCAGATTGGCAAAATCTCTCTGGAGGAAGGAGAGATCATTGAGATAACCCATATGGCTCCGAACAGCCACTCCTTATAAAAAGACCACAGGAATTTGCTGTTTTGTGGTCTGCTGGATGTGGCTTGGAGTCAAGAGATACCCTCAAGTTCACACTTGTAGCACTATTTTTTTTAAAGACTGAGCTTCATTTCTTAATCAGTTTCTGGAGGGTTTTTTCTGTATTGGAAATATTAAGACTCTTTGGATTGGCAAGTTTATTATATTCATCAGGTGATTTGTTTTTTCCTTTGAGAAACAATTATAGCTACCCTGTTTCTCCAACAATATGGCCTCCCCCAATAGGAAGTCCCAGCATGTTTTATAGGCATGAAATGAAATTAAGCCCCTCCCCCCCAAATTAAGGCCTATATTAAAACATGCGAAATGGGGGGGAATGGTGGTGGTGGGGCTTGCCGTTAGGAAGTACTTTTGTTGCAAACCCGGATATGGTGCTGCCTGCGTTGACCCCGATACGAAGTGCCCCACCAACGCCGAGGTCAACATCCAAGCCGTCGCCACCCGCCCACCCAAAGATGTAAGGGGGGGAATTAAGTCACCCCTGAAAAGACAGCCTAGCCATTTTTTCAGGGCTCAAAAAAAAATAAAAAAAAATAAGACCCGGCCTTATTATATGAGAAACACGGTAACATTTTTAAAGTTCTGGAAAATGCTATTTTTTAATTAAATATTGAAAGCATGCATGAAATACCGATTTTAGAAAGTTAACAATGGACTAAGGGTTCAGATGGCCTTGCTGTCAATTCTGAATAGAACCTGGCTGAAGCCATCTTGTGCTGCTTCATAGTTGTCCCACATTATAGGGGGAGGATAAGGGGGAAATAGCTAGACCATCCTGTAGACAAAATAAAGAGCTCTCCCATGGGAACTAAGATCATCCCAACAGGTGGCAGGGGCAGGAGGAGCAAAAGTGGTTGAGCGGAAATGGCCGGCAACTACTTTGATTGGACAATGTGACTTGTGACACTTGGGGAGGGAAGCCTCTGCACTTTTAATTACATGGCAACTGTGGGAAACTTTTAGAGTTGGTTTTCACTGGCTGTGCTGATAAACATGTTCTTTGAAGAATGTTCCTGCCTTGGAAGTCTGATTTCTTTGGATGTGTTACTCAGAATGCTGACATTAAATCAACTCTCCTAATGTTCTGCTCCATCTGGAGCCGGTCTCCAGGGTTTTGAGCCCCGGCTGCCCACCCAACTTTAGAGGGGGCAGAGAAGACTCAAGGAAGACCAAGAAGATGGAGTGAGAGAGGGCCGCCAGTGCCAGTGCAGTCCCTACTGAGAGCCAGCAGACCACGGCACTACTGGAGGAGGTTGCACTATCGGCAGGAACTCGACCGAAGGTCCAGAAGGAGGCCTCGGCCACTGGAAACCTATACTGGGCCGAGGAGGACCTCAGACCCCAGGACTCAGGCCAGGTATTTGGAATGGAATTCCCATTGACAACCATGCAGGACTTGGCTGCCCTCACTGCACGCTGGAGGGCAAGAAGAACCATCAAGTTGGATGAATCGGGGGAATGGCGATACCTGACCACCCTCCCTGGCGAGATGTTGGAAAACCTCTGGAGAGGTTTGACCAGATGATCATTGAGGGGGATGGGTCAGGCGTGTAGGTTCAAGCTGCCCAGGTTGCTTCTAATCCAATCCACCCTATCGTTTCCACCTTGCCGCGATTTGACTCCAGCTGTGGCGGCTTGGTCAATATAACATTCAAGAAGAGTTCTTCTTTCAGTATTGAACAGTGTCTGGAACATTGGGAAGGGGTTGGTAAACATCTTAATTACTTTGTTATGTTGCCATCTGAGATGCAGATTACAGCTTCAACAAGAAGACTATTATAACCAAGTCTATGGAGAATGGATACATTAAACCTTATTTATTCATCCCTTGCAGCCTCTGGCTACTGTTTATATTTTTAAAGTCCAGAATTAGGTAATGAACACCATGCTTGCTTTGCAATATAACTTTGAAAGAGAAGCAAACCATGTGATCTTACTAAAAGTGTTGCTGTTTCAATTTGTATATAAAAATTATCTTGTAATTCTTTTTATATGCAGTATACTGTAAATGAAAGTAAAGCCAGATTGCTATAAATTAAAAGCAGTTTATTATAGACAGGATTAACATAGAAAAGATTTAATTTTCAGAAGGGCCACTGTAAACTGCTTATTTACAGTGTACTTTTGTGCAGTTAGTTGTACCAAGATAATGATACCAGATTAAAAATCAACATTTCTACACTCAGGCTTCACAAGCGAATGGATGTGTTTGGGCCTTCAATTTAATATTTCGTTGATGTAGGTAAACATCCAAAGAATCAAGCACCTTTTTTTTTTAAGCAAGTAGTTTTAGAATCAATGGCATAAAGCAATGGAATTGTGAAACTTGTGGAGTTGAAGGGACTTCTAAAAGCTCTATGCCAGAAGCCTAAAAGAAAAAGAAAAAATAGAAATTCTGTTGTTATCTCAAGGGTTTTGGTGTATTCAAAATATTTTAATAAGTTTTGTGAGGGAACCAGGAAGTATTGGAAATTGTTTTTTCATGGCAGTTCCATTATTTAAGTATGCTTCATTCTAGCCTATGAAATCAGGTAAAAAAAAAAAATCTATGTTTAGGGCAATAAGACATCATAAGCATACATTATGGTTGATAACGGTATTTATTTATAAAAACTGTGCTCTGTTTTTAACTAGAAATGAACCTATGTTGTAATCATGCTTTATAAATGTTTGTAAATAGTTTAAACATATTGATCCAAATCATACTTACAGATATATTCAGGATCTTAGAGGCATTCAATACTATATTAAGTTTCTTTTTTCCTCCTAACATTTCTCGGATTTAAACATTCACCTGGGTTGAAAATTATGTTGGCCATAGGACGTCAGTAATGCGTAGGTTGAGTACTTGCAACAAATTATGCCAGATTTGTTCTGCATCTTCATATTTATTTATTTATTACACCAACATGCGTGTGCAATCATCATGTGATTCTGGAGGGCTAGCAGAAGCTAAAAGAGAAAGTAGAAACCTAAAAACCGATTTATAAGTCATATGTTATATAAATTTGTAGGTTTAATTTTGAAACACTTGTATTATTTTGCAGATGGACAAAGCCTATTTTGAAAAAGGGCTATAGACAACGCCTAGAATTATCAGACATTTATCAAATCCCTGCTGCAGATTCTGCTGATAATCTGTCTGAGAAATTAGAAAGGTATGTATTACATATTTAGAAGCGTGTAATGTTATTTATCTGCCGATTATTTTTCTCCTACTTTTTCTCTTGAATATTCTACAGGGCATATGTTAGTAGTTTCTTATTTCACTTTCCGAAATATAATTCTGTAAAGGGGATTGGGTTGAATAAAAAAGCCTGACCTATTGTTACTCAACAAATTATGGAGCTGAGTGGAGTTTAGAAATAGACTCCAAGGCCCTGTCTACTTATTACCTTTAATAGAAATTACATTGTAGTCACCCAGATATCATGATTGGTATAGTGCTGATTTAAAAAATACTAATGCACAGCAGTGGTGGGATTCAAATTTTTTACTACCGATTCTGTGGGTGTGGCTTATTTGGTGGGTGTGGCTTGGTGGTCATGTGACTGGGTGGGCGTGGCTTGGTCATGTGACTGGGTGGGCGTGCTTGGTAGTCATGTGAATGGACGGGCGGGCTTGGTGGCCATGTGACTGGGTAAGTGTGGCCAACTCAATGTCACTCACATCAAGAGGTGCCTCGCCTAGCCTCTCCTGTCCCAGCCATTCTTTGTCAATTAAAAATAATGGCACATAGTTTTTTTTTCTCTCTCCCCCCATCCTTCCTACTTCTTTTTCTTTCTCTTTTCTCTATTTCTCTCTTTCTTGCTCTTTCTCTCCCTTCCTCTTTCTTTCTTGCTCTCTCTCTCTCTCTCTCTCACACACACACACACACACACCTGGTCGGGAGGTTGACAGAGGCACGGCTGCAGCGGGCACTGCTATGGGAGGCAGCTGGGATCTCACCCTCCTGGTCAGAGCACTTTGCCACCGGTAGCTTCTCCCGGGGGACGAAATGTTTCATGTTTCCTCCCTTCACGAAAAGCCCAATGCCACTTTCTCCTTTGGCTGCAGCGGGACCCCAAATCCCAGTTCCCTTCCCCGCTAGAGAGGAGAGCCTTGCGTTGTCTGCATCCCCGCTGACTCTCAGAGACCGGGGCCTTCCGATCTGGCACAGGAAGCCGGGAAAGCCGGTAACCTCCAAGGAGCTAAAACGTCATGCATGCCCATCACAGCAGATGCCACAAGGGCCACACAGACGCCCTCAGACAGCAATCCAGATTCAAGGTGCTGAGGCTATGGCCCATGCCTTTTTTCCTTTCCCCTGGGGAGAAGGAGGACGTGGGCAACGGAGGCCCGAGCATGCTGTGCCTGTGCCTTTTTTCCTTTCCTTCCAGGAGAAGGAGGACACGGGTGGTGGCGGTCCAGAAAGGAAGAAATCGGCCAGCTAGTCTTCTCTTTCTCTGCCTGTTTGTTTTGTATGGCAGAGGAGGAGGATATCAGCTGGCCAAAGGGGCAGCTGCTGGAGGTGACTCTTTTTGGGTCTCCAGTCGCCTTTTCAGCACAGAAATCCTCCCCGAATCGGCCAGCTGGTCGTCTCCTTCTCTGCCTATTTGTTCTGTATGGCCAAGGAGGAGGAGGAGACCATCCATCGATTTGGGGAGGATTTCTATGCTGAAAAGGCGACTGGAGACCGAAAAAGAGTCGCCTCCAGCAACTGCCCCTTTGGCCAGCTGATCTCCTCGGCCATACAAAACAAACAGGCAGAGAAAGAGAAGACCAGCCGGCCGATTCGGGGAGGATTTCTGTGCTGCAAAAAAAGGCGGCTACCGATCTCCGGCTTCGCTCCACTTCTCCAACGGTCTGGCGCCGCCCTGTTCTTTGTGCCGGCTGCTTGGACTTGCTGGGCCTGGCACATAGAACAGGGCGTGCTCTTTTTGGTGCAGCTGCTGGACTGCAGTAGCACCGAAAAAAGCATGCAGAAGCTACAGGCATCTCGCAACAAGGGGGGCGAGGACCCCCGGAATATCCACTCCCCACCTGCTGGCTGGGCCAGGCTGGGCCAGGCTGGAAGAGGCGCGTTCACCGGGAAAAGGAAGAAAACGTGCTCCAGGAGGGCAGGCAGGCGGGTGGATATCCCGGGGCTGCTGCACATACGCACTGTGCATGTGGTAGGGAAAGCTAGGAGAGCGACCGGGGCAAGTGAGCAACTGGGCGACCAGGCCGGGGGCATGGCCAGCCAGGGGTTGCCACCGGTTCGGCGACCCATGCCAAATCACCGCTACCGCCTGAACCGGTGTGAATAATCCTTTTTTTTATCTATATGTGCCTTCAAGTCAAACCTGACTCCTGGTGACTGCTTAGTCAAGTCCCCACAATTTTCTTGGCAAGGTTTTTCAGAAGGGGTTTGTCATTGCCTGCTTCCTAGGACTGACAGAAAGTGACTGAAAGTCACCTAATTAGCTTTGTGCCTAAGGACTAGAATGCAAGTCTCCCACTTGATGCCTTAACCAATACACCAAGCTGACTCTCTACAATATAATCTCAGGCATATGTTCAAAAGTAAACCTTGCTCAGACATTAATACTTGGATTTCAACATTAGTTCTTCAAAGTAATCGTTTTCATATACATAATCTAGAAATTTCTTGGAAAATTGCCTTCTTTCTCATTATGTTTGTAAGCCATTTGGAAATTGAAAGATTCTTAGGATCCCAGTTCAGTGAAAAGCTTTTTAACAAATCATTCCTAATACACCATCAAAACTTCAGTTTATATAATACTAATGAAAACGACGAGGATGGTGGGATTCAATTTTTTTACTACCGATTATATGGGCATGGCTTATTTGGTGGGTGTGACTTGGTGATCATGTGACTGGGTGGGCGTGCTGGTTGGTCATGTGATTGGGTGGGCGTGGCCAATTTGATGTCATTCACATCAAGGGGTGCCTGGCCTGGCCTCTCCTCACCTCAAAGAGATACAATTTCCCTCTATTTATTTACTACTACTGAACATCCAAAATACACTATTTAATCCTATGTATATATGCCATATGTGTACATACATATTACATAGTATAGTGTGTGTATAGGCATACAAAAAGATACATTATCTACTATATATACTGTATGTGTATGTACACACACACACACACACACACACATGTGCATACAGCTCTTCTAAAACTATACACATTCAACCTCACTGCATTTGGAAAAACACACCCATAATCCACTTTCTGCCACACATTTTGCTATAACTTCTGTACATTAGAACATTGCACGCGCCTTCAGATTTACTTCCCTAGCCTGCACACGACCGTTAGACCGAGGAAATGACATGGATTGAGTAAAATGTGGTGAAACTCACTTAACAACGCTCTTGCTTAGCAACCAAAATGTTGGGCTCAATTATGGCGATAAGTGAAGGACTATCTCCACCTTCCTCTGCATGGCAATTGTCCTAGTAAACTGCTCTGCCAATTTTCCTCTCTGTTAGAGGCACCAAAATAATCCAGATGATATAAGATCTCCTGCTGGGGGTTGGACTAGATGGCTTCCAAGGTCCCTTCCAACTCTGCTAATCTATCATACTGTAAGGATCTCCTGCTGGAGCAGGGGATTGGACTAGAACAGAGGTTTTCAAACTTGACAGCTTTAAGACTTATGGGCTTCAATTCCTATAATTCCTCCTCCAGTCATGTTAGCTAAGGAATTCTGGGAGTTCCACAAGTCTTAAACTTACCAAGTTTGAAGATCCTTGGACTAGAAGATGACCTCCGAGATCCCTTCCAGCCCTAGATTACTATGCTGTTTCAAAGAGTCTTCTGAAGCCAGGGTTTGTGTTTTTCCTTCCTCTCCTTTATTTCTGTCTCCCTTCCTCCGTCCCTCCATGTATCCATCCATCCATCCATCCATCCATCCATCCATCTATATCTCATTCACTTTCTCCTCCCTCCCTCCCTTTCTTTCTTTCTTTCTTTCTTTCTTTCTTTCTTTCTTTCTTTCTTTCTTTCTTTCTTTCTTTCTTTCTTTCTTTCTTTCTTTCTTTCTTTCTTTTTCTGTCCCTCCCTTTCTTTATCTATCCCTTTACTTCCTTTCTCTTCCTTTCTCTTCCTTTCTCTTTCTGTCTCCCTTTTTTCTTTCTTTCCCTTTTCTCTTTCTTTTCTTTCTTGTCTCTCCCTTCTCTCTTTCTCTTTCTCTTTCTCTTTCTCTCTCTCTCTCTCTCTCTCTCTCTCTCTCTCTCCCTCTTCCCTTCCTCCTTCCCTCTCTCCTTCTAAAGCTAGGAGACCCACATGAAACAAAAACTCCTTTGGATGAAACTGGCCGTTACACACACACACACACACACACACACACACACACACACGCTTCCAACCAGCTCTCGTGCCTCACCTCATTGTTTCCTTTTAGCACCGGGCCAGTCGCCAGAGTAATTTCCAAGCGCCCAGCAGCATCGCTCACCTCCCAGGAAACTCTGGGTGATTGACTGGGGCGCATGGACCATCTGGCGGTGTGCTTGGATCTGTGCCTCTGTCACGCAAACAAGCCTCTTTCTGGAGCAGCTGTAGGAAGGAGGTGGATTTGCAAGGAGTTAGAAGGGGCGGTGGTCAGGTGGCTTGATTAGACCGTGCGTTGGAATTCCCCGCAGTGGACAGAAAAATGACGAGGTTTCTTCCTTTCTGGGCAACAGTCCCGTGTTGCCCAGAAAGGCCGGCAGGAAAGGCTTCCAGGTCCAACAAAGGAGCCTTTTGGGGGGAGATTCAAGGGCTGGGAACTTCAAGCGAGGTGTGCGCTGAAGCCTCGCCCACCCCGCCGGCAGCTCTGGGCTAGGTAGCGGTTCAGCTTTCCCAATGGCCTGCGACCTTACCTTCCTCCAATGGCTGGTGGCAGAGGGAAAGGCAAGCTAGCCAGCCCCTGCCAGCCCGCATCTCACTCCATGCCCGGATTCTTCTCAGCTGCTGGAACTTGCCTGCTACGGGCGACCTGGGAGCACGAGGCTATGCCGCCCTCATCACTCCTCTGCCAGCCCCCCTCCCTCATGGGGCCAAGTGCAAGGAAGGGGCAGCAGGCAAAGGGGCAATGAGGGAGGCGTAGTATTCTGCTCCCTACTCGCCCCTTAGCACCCAAGGCCCAGCAGCTGCGGAGAATCCAGGCGGGGAGCGAGATGCAGGCTGGTGGCGACTTGAGTGGTGACGGGTCAGCCCTGGCTCGCCTTCCTCTCTGCCACCAGCAATCCAGGCAAGCTGGAGGCTAGAAGCAAACCAGGCAGGGATGGGGGGGGGGGGACAACTAGCTAGTATCTCTCCCGCCACTCGCTTCTTTCGGGAGATGAAAGGAAGTGGGAAGCAGCGGTGCTGCTATGGGAGGTAGCCCCAGGAGTCCCTGCCCTCCCGGTGGGAGTTCCTCTGCTGCCACTCATTGCACTGTGGCCACCACGTGGTAGGGAGAGCTGGGAGAGCTTCATGTGGCAGCTTAGCCAGCCGAGCCTGGAAATGGTGGGGGGAGGCAGCTAGCTAGGCCCCAGAAAGTGCCACCACCGGGGATTGGACCGCGCCAGTGGGAAACCCAGTCAGCCGAGCCCGGGGACACTGGGGGTGCCCTCGACAAGCTCCAGGAACAGTGGAGGACTAGCATGACTCGCAGGCTTACCTGTGAGCAGGCAGATCAGGGCTGCTCAGTTGGGGTGCATGCACCACGTGGGAAGGCAGGTTAAAGGCAAGTTACAAGAACCCAGTGTGCCGCATAGGAGGTGAGGAATGACTGGGCAGGAGCAAGCATTGGTCAGGTGGGGCAAGCAAGTGGCAACCGGGTGACTGGGTCGGGGGCATGGCCAGCCAGAAGTTACTACTGGCTTGGTGACCCACACCAAATCCTTGCTACCGGTTCGCTTGAACCGGTGCGAACCGGCTGAATACCATCACTGATTTCCCCCCACATCCTATGATAAATAAATCTCTATATCTCTATATTTATTTATCCTATGATAAATAAATCTCTTTATTTTCAAGCAAATAATCATTTAATGGTTGGATTTTGTTCAAGGTTGGTATATGAACCAAATCTTGTGGGTTATAATCTATGGTTACAAAATAAAATAAAAATACTCCCAAAATCTGTTAAAAAATGGTTTAAACAACCAATTTGGTTCATACCCAAGAACCAAACTAGACCATATAAAAAAGGACCGAACTGCATTAATAAATTTAAGATCAGTAGATCTGAGTTCTTTAATTCTAACCAAAACTTATTGTTATAACTAATAACTCTAAAATAAATATCAATAATATATACTGAGTATGGATTTTTTCTACTTTGTATTTCTGCTACTTAAATAGAAAACTTTCTCTGGTTCAGGGTAAAATAACAAGTAAGTTAGTAAATAATTAATTATGAAAAAATCTTACCTTGCATCTTAGATACTTAAAATTTATCAGAGTATTTATGATTATATTACTCCTTTTTCAATGGAAGTTGACTAAAGAGTCATTCTGATCACAAACAAAGCACCCTGGATTCGTGTCGTTAAATTGGTCAGAGAGCTGGAGTTACATAACCAAATGAACTACTTGTTTTGTGGAGATTTGATTTTCAACTAAAAAATATTATCTCATAAAAAATATTTCACAGGTTTCCCACAGAGTGGAATTTTTAATATCAGATCATTTTCTGGTTAGTTATTTTAATGACTTGAAACAATGAATATACGTTTACAAGCATCATGCTTTTGGCATAAAAAGGACTTGATACATCAAGGAAATACATCTTAGAAACCTCTGTTTTTGCACCAGAGCCTCCTGGTTGACATACTCTAGTTCAGACAGAATGTTGAAGCGTAAGGCTTAAGTCAACATGTTTGTGGTTGGGTAAACAGCTTTTAATGAGCTAACTTATTTAGGCTATCAAATTTGGCCTGAAACTCTGGATAATTCTATATAGTACCAAAAACAAATAAAAACTTGATGATTATTTGAAATTTTGCAGCCCAGATATAGCTCCAAGGAATGAACCTATCAGTTATAACCCCATCTAATACCAACTGCTGGACCTGGAAAAAAAATTGTGCATGCATTTGATACTCTGAAATTTCTCCCTAATTAGAATGGTTACCCCATTGAAAGCTCTAGTGGTCTCTTTAAAAGATACAGCTTAAATAAATTCTCCATAAAACTACATTAGTATCTCCTGGACTCTTCTGTAAATAATAATAATGAGGTCATGGTTTACATGTCTTCAGCAGTGATTGGATTATACTATGATAGGGTAATGTCTTAAATCACTTCTGAAAAAAATGCCTTAGTATAATCTGTCATATCAGTTGCCTTTTGATATTACTTAATTCCCATATCATATTCAGTGTAGTTAAGAAGTGATCAAATTCCATTTTGATTGGAAATTTTATAAGTATCTAAATATTGTGATTACTTTATATTCCATAAATGTTAAAACTGATTCTAAAAATGCATCATTCAGGGTTGAATTACACAGGTTTTCAATGTTAGCTGACATGCTTTATTAAAAACAGAACAGAATTGAATTTTTCCTTTTCTTTCCCTTGGTACTGGAAGCAATCCAAAACCTTTATTTGCCTATTATTTGTTTAGTGGTCTGAAGAAGTACAACAGGTTTCTTTAAAACATACACTGTGACCTTTTTAATGAATTAACTTTCTGCAAAATGATGTGTAACGAAGTATTTCCATTGCCAAATATTTAACTGAGCTACACTTGAACTTTTATTGAGCTATCATGTCACAGTGGGTCAGGTCCTTGGGGTCTTTGCAAAGCTTTGAATTCAATGGATTCCTTAACTAAATCTCCTTGGATATTCTTGGGTGAAATGAACTATGTTTGGGCCAAAGAATGGTTTATTTGGCCACATAATTCAATGTTCTTTTTTATTCCTCAGAGAATGGGATAGAGAATTGGCTTCAAAGAAAAACCCCAAACTCATCAATGCACTTAGACGGTGTTTCTTCTGGAAATTTATGTTGTATGGAATTATACTATATTTAGGGGTAAGTTTCCTTATATTTCAGTTAACATATTGCAATATTATATCCTTTTGTAACATGCCTAAGAAATTCTAAGTGGTGTATTTGTCTATGGAAATTTTCAGTCATGGTTGTCCCAAAGGTGCTATAAAGGTATAAATCCTTCTATTCAACACCATCCTGTCAGAGATGAAGAAGCTTCTTGGATGAGAAGTGAAATGGCTTCAAAGAAAAACAAGAAGGTCTAGTTGCCTCTTGAAAAAGCACTTTTGGGACATGAAGTTTGTTTGTTTGTTTATGCAACAGAAATCAAGTTAATTATATTAAAACATGCTTATTAATACTGTTCCTAAATATAAATATTTTAATTAAACTATTTTTCATCTCTGTAATCAAATCCGCATGAGAAATAACGTACAGTAGAAAATTACTCTAATGCTTGTCATCTGGGACAAAACTGAAAATGAGCATGCATAAATACACGGACCTCATTTCAGACAATTTTTATCGGAAGTGGGGAACTTATGGAATGCCAAATTTGTCAAATTTCAGATTATCCATTAGTCCTAGACATGATATTGAAGTTCAAGGATATTGGAAACTGTAATCCTATATTTGGAAGGCTACAAATTTTCTACCTCGTTCTTGTAAAATATTAAAAATAAATGAATTATTTTCAGGTATTTTTACAGTATATCTTCCAGAGATGTTCTTTTTTATGATACACTAGAACAGGGGTGTCAAACTTGCAGCCCGCGGGCCGGATGCATCAAGTGCTGGCCCCGCCCCTGCCAAGTTTAGTGAAGGGGGAAAAAGTCCCAATACATCACATGATGCCTCTGTGACCATGCGAGTTTGACACCCCTGCACTAGAAGGTAGGATTTTAAGAATAGCATAATTTTAATCATTGCCATAATTTTTAAAAATATTTCATTTATTAAAGGTATATGCCCATTACATTACAAGATAAGGTTTTTTTTTAAAGTGCTTATAGGAAATGTACTGGAACTTAGTTATACATACACTTTAAAGTTATTTAATAATTAGAATTCATTTGTTCCTTGAATATAGATCCAATTTCTTCAGATTTAGTGGAGGTTTATATTGTTTCAACTGTTTATTACCAGTATTAGCATCTATTTACCCCATATACATAACTTATTTTTCATCTTAGATTTGTGGGATGGAGAAGAGAAATTTCATGGGATGATAAATAGGTGGATAGATGGATAGATAGATGATAGATATTCTATCTGAAAATTTTCTATAATATACCCAATTCTTTCCATTGAAAACTGTAATTTTTGTTATATACGTTTGAAACTAGGTACATATAACTGATTAAATTTTATGTTGATATATAGAAAACTGGAAGCTTAAAAATATGACACATGCTCCTACTCTTTTAACACATATAGAAAGAGATTGGAGAAAAAAAATAATCTAAATTAAGTTGAATTTCATGGCTGATAAAGAATTAGAAAGTTGGGATCACCATTTTTATGTGTGTTTGGTGTGTATATGTGTGCTTATTAAGATAGTCACGAACATCCAGCATTAAAATCTGTTGTAAAATTGATGGAGACATTGACTCTTAAACATGATGAGTGTATAGTATGAATTATCCTATGCTACCAATATTGTTATCTCTCATAAATATAATGAGAATATAGCAAAGGCTAATAATGCCAGGTGTGTCTACAAAGATTATCAAAGGTAGTTAGAAATTTCAATACACATTTTGTATTCAGTCTTTGCACATTTGCAAAGAAACAACTGTTAGTCTTGAATATCCTGAAGAGCTTGATTTCAGCTTGTCCCTATCACTGCTATCTTGCAAATAGTACAGAAATTCTGTTTTTCAGATCATAAGAAAAGCAACTAGAGAGCAAGTATTAACATTATTATTTGGAAAGAGTACAACTTTTTTCTTTGTTAATCGTTAAAGTGTATTATTGTAGCCTTTTTTTGTTCACTGTTGTAAAAAAAATCTATAAATCACTTCGTAACAATAATCTGAAAACACATTGCTATCTTTGTATGGTATACATAACAAACAGTCGTAAAATATAAACTATAGTTCTACACATATGCAGTGTACATATGCAAAGGAATAGAGATGTGATTTTTTTTTAACCAACTGAAGGGGGAGTTAAGGATTTGGAGAATTCCATTATAGTCTCTAGCATCATTAAATTATGTTATGTGATTTGACACTAACAGGATTTTTTTACCAATAGTGTTCCATTTAAAGGCAATCTGAAGTTTATTAATATGAAGGTTGTCATCTTTCTCTTTATACTGTCCTTTTCTTACACATTTCATGGCCACACTGTTTCAATTAACTTTTGTAACCTCTGCCCCATCCTGCGCTTTGTAATTTCTGATCTGATGACAGCTTCTGTACAAGTCACAATGTTTTGTGACTCTGTTTAGTTCTGAAAAATGTTCTTCCCATTGTCCAGCTATGAGTTTTATTCACCAACTTTTTATTTGTGTCCTTTAACATTTATGTATATGTATGTATGTATGTATATGTGTCGTATATAATCTATCTATCTATCTATCTATCTATCTATCTATCTATCTATCCATCCATCCATCCATCCATCCATCTATCTCTCTATGTAAAAACATGTTTTATTATAGTCTTGATCCTAAACATGGATGCACACCTGCCCAATTCTTTTTTTTTTTATTGTTCTTTTATAAATATTCCTCCTTGTGTACTAAAAACATTGCTCTGTTGGTCAAACATAAGTCTGTTTGTCTTTTTCTAAAATTATACGTAATCATGAAAAACAATGTGAGTACTTAAAACAGCAGCTATGTGATTCAGAGTGTCGGTTTCAGTCCATTTCTGGAAATAAAATGTGTTTTTTCCTAATGGGTGAGCATTGAAACCAGTTTTTTCATGCTGACCCATTAGGAAATGACTATACATAATAATAATAATAAAGCAATTTGCAATGTTAACCTCAGGTTTAAAGGACAGTAAACAAATGGTACTGTGACCTCACTTACAGTATATCTTCTGATGGCATGCTTCCAATGTATTTTTAACAAAATAAATTGTATGCTATATGATCATTTCATATCAAATATCTAAAATTTCATTTGGGAACTATAAATATTGTTTAATGAAAGTTTTATTTCTAAAATTTGCCATCCTTTTATATATTGTAATAATGCTAAACAATGTATCAAAGCTGGATTTTTTTTCCATTTGTTTTAATTTTCATTTAAATATAAAATGAATTTATTAACAATAATCTATGTAAAGAGTCAGATATGATAATTATTAAAGATTTATTAAATTATGACAAATGCAACTAGATGGGGAATCCAACCCAAAATTGACACAGTTGTTATTGTGGTGAACTTTAGCACCCTTTAATAGACTTGTAATTGTAAGGAGTATGACTCTTATAATTATAGTCCTTTCAGTAATTCAGAGTCATAACTTCAATTTTCATTGTAGGAAAAAAAAACACCTTTCTTTATGCTCATACTGGATCCCTGAAATATTCATTATTATCCTCTCCAATAACTCTCACTGTCATTATAAGTCATTATTTTATTTATTAAACGAACATATATAGCCACCCATCTTACTAACACAAACAAGTGGAAAGTATATAACAAATAATATAATTCTTTTTTATATATATAAAATTCTTTATAACCCTAAAATTATTTATTCTACAATAAAGAGCAGGTTAGAAAGATGCTACATATTGATCATAAGGCTATTAAAAGGGACAATATTATATGCTATGGAATATTGAATAGCTCTGCAACTTTGCATTTATTAGTTCCAAAAACAGACATATGGGTGGGAATGTTCCCTGAGCCAAAAGACAAATGCTACTTTTTCAAAGAACATTGAAAGCTTTCCCTGTAATTCCATAAATAAGAACAAATCAGGGTAGCTGCTGAATTTTATTTTCTTACTTCCCCTTCTGTTCTTGAGGGAAGTTATAGTTTAGGAAGCATAATATAGTCTGTGACATGCATCCATTTTGCCCACTGCTAACCATCACTTCATTGTCTGAAGATAAGGTTATAATTCTTCATGCTTAAATATGCTGAACAAGTGCTCATATGTATTAGCTATTCAAAAAACTGACAAAAATATCTGACTTTTTCTTTTTAACCACAGGAAGTTACTAAATCCGTGCAGCCTCTTTTACTGGGAAGAATAATTGCTTCTTATGATTCTGCTAATACACAAGAACGATCAATAGCTTACTATTTAGCCATAGGACTCTGTCTTCTCTTCATTGTACGAATGTTACTTCTCCACCCAGCAATATTTGGTCTTCATCACATTGGAATGCAAATAAGGATAGCCATGTTTAGTTTAATTTATAAAAAGGTACGTTTCCTATTTTGGTTAAATGAAATTCAAGGCTAATTAAACTGCATAGGGGATTGATAATAACATGCTGTGGCCTCACATTGCTACAGTAATGAAAGCATACTGTGTCAAGAAGCATTTCTTTTTTTGATGATCTACACTTAGTTTGTTGTGCAGTTTCAGCAGGGGGTATCTTAATACTTTGTTCAAACCAACAGTAACAGAGAAAATGGGAGTAAAAATACGAGTTGTTACATAAGCTACATGACCATCATCCAATTTCCCTAGTTGTGAGTAGAATGAAGCCTACATGGAGCAATAAGGACTAATTTTGCCTCATGAAGGAGAGAATCTAAATATGCTAGGAAAAAAGGTAGCTAATGAGCCAAGAATGACAAAATTAATTTACCATTACATATAAACTCTCCTATTGCACAAACCTAAAATAAACAAAAAAACCTGTATTTGTGGATTATTTCTTACAAATGTAATAAACTGTGAAAAGAATCTGAAATTAAAATAAAAACAGAGTCTCTAATCTGATTATTGCAGCTACTATAAACTTACTATTTACTTATTTATTTTAAAATCTACCCATTCCTTTTCCATTCAGGGTCCTGAAATGGATGCACAATAAATAATAATAATAACGTTAATTTATAATTACAAACACAAAATATAAATTTCAAAGGAAATCAAGATTGACCTCAGTTTACTTTCCAAAATCTTAACTGGAAAGTATAGTTTAAAAAGATGAATTTAGTTTGGAATTAAGTACAAATCAGAGTTCATCACTTCAGATGCAATTTTTTTTGCCTGGTTCTTGCAAACTGAACAGAGAATCAGAGTGAACAAGTAGGGTATTTGTGAGTCTGACACTTTATCCACATATACATTTAACTGTACTTCAGAGATGCTTAATTGTTTTTTCAAGAACAAGTCCCAATGAAGTAGCTTTTACTTCATCCCCAGATTACAAGGCCAATTTTAACTGATACGATGTTAAAATGTTTTCAATTTCTTCCTGGCAAGAGCCTCATGCTATTCATGATTTGTTGTTCTTGCGTGGTGATTGGTAATGATACAATCAGGATCTATTGAAATATTTTTTTATAGAGTAAACCCTTCTGAATATTGTAAGTATTTATGAGTAATCCTGTAGTAGATGGAAAAAAGTGTGTTTGTAATAAAAGAAAAATTATATTGCACAGACCATACTAACATCCTCTGAAGTTTTTTATTTCTGTTTGTGCTATTACATGCTTTGGCTGATAAACTTCTTATTTTTGTTCTGTTTTACAGACTTTAAAACTGTCAAGCAGAGTCCTAGATAACATAAGTACTGGACAACTTGTTAGCCTCCTTTCAAACAACCTGAACAAATTTGATGAAGTATGTTGACGATCATGCGTTTAATACATTTCTTTGAAGGAGAAGGAATTGGTTCAATCCATTATTAATGTGCTTAACACTACTAGAATTAAAGTAAATTCTTTGCTATGGATAGGTTTGCTAGAGAATAGTTCTAAGCGAATTATAAAAATCAGAACAAAACAACAATAAAACAACAACAACAACACTATTATGTATGCTAACAACATCACTCTTGCCTGAATTTTTGGATCCAAATTATCTGTTTGTATTACATTATTCCTGCTATTTGAAGTGACTTCTTAAACTATTGACAAACTCTGAGAATAGGATATATAATACTAAATTCATAACATTTATCTTTGGATATATCTATATTATATAGCAATAACACTTAGACTTATATACCACTTTATAGTGCTTTACAGCCCTCTCTAAGTGGTTTACAGAATGAGCATATTGCCCCCAACAATTTGGGTCCTCATTTTACCCATCTCGGAAGGATGGAAGGCTGAGTCAACCTTGAGCTCGTTGAGATTCGAACTGCCAAATTGCAGGCAGCCGGTTGTCAGTAGAAGTAGCCTGCACTACTGCACTCTAACTACTGCACTACTGGGGCTCTATATAGTTATTTATTTCCCTACTTTAGTGTTAATATACTTTTGGAACAAATGCTACATGTGCTCGTGCTATTGTTTTCCTTGGCTAGCAATAATCAAATGGTAGTAGGAAAATACAGAAAATTATTTGTTGATTTTTAGTGGATGATATTTAAATTGCTTAAACTTTAAGTGGGACAGAGGAATAGTTAACAGTCAGAGATAGATTCCTCCTCCCACTTTGTTTATGTCAGGAGTGTTTGGTTGGTCTGTAAGAATCTTTTTCAAGCTGAGGTCAAAACAAATCACAGCAGCATGGATGTAATTTCTTATTAAAGTGATCATACCATAAAGAACGTTGCACTTCACTGCCGAGATTTCTGCTAGAAGAAACTACACTTTCAAGGTGCCGGGTTGCTAAGTCTGGTTTAGATAAAATTCTGTGTTATTCCCAGATTTTGAAATCACAAAAACAGATTTATCTGCTCCAGCTTGTGGTGTTTGTAGGAACAAAATAGGCATTGCAACTGTGGGACCATTACTCTGATTAAATATGATAAAATGTGTACAAAGATCAGTGGCACAGTGTAAGTCACCACTGCTGGTAATAGACAGGGAGAGGTTTATATCAAGAGAAGACACTTTTAAGAATTTGGCCACTAACCACTAGTGTTTGTCGTTGCATTGACTCCTCTGTCAACAATACTGAACAAGTCAGGTCATGACTATGAAACATCAAAAACATCTGCCAACCTATTCCATTGCCTTTACATGATTGATCAGAAGCTGCATGGAAAAACACCACCTGAAATGGAATAGCTGCTCAACATTGTTGAATATACAGCCAAGATATTTCATTTGGATTGGACAAACATGCCACACTTAACCAGCTTTCGTGTTGCTTTCTATGTATAGTTTCCTTATGCTTTTATAGTGATTTTTTTCTTTCTTTCAGGGTCTGGCTTTGGCTCATTTTGTATGGATTGCACCTTTACAAGTTGTGTTGCTGATGGGGCTTCTCTGGGAGATGTTGCAGGCATCAGCATTTTGTGGGCTTGGATTCTTGATTCTTGTTGTCTTTTTCCAAGCCTGGCTAGGACGAATGATGATGAAATACAGGTGACCAAGTTTTCTCAAATAACGGTAGTCCTCAAATTTACCTGAATTTCAGCCACTAAGCAAGGGCAATCGTGACAATCCCTGTTACCATCTTTAACTGAATTCCACTACCTGAGGACCCACCACAATCTAACCCAGTGATGGCTAACCCTTTCAGCTTAGTGTGTCGAAAATCGGGAAAAAGTGTAGCCTTCCTCGGGTCGTGTGTCACTTCAAGAAATATCAATAATTTGGTTTATGACGGACTGGGCTGGGGTGATCACACAGGGCTGTGAAACTCGTCTCCCTGGTCTCAGGGCTGCAGGTGCAGGATGTGGGGATCGGAAGGCCACCTTACAGGGCTGTGAACCTCATGGATCTCCTTTCCTCCTGTAGCGTTCCTGAGGTAATGAAACTGACAAACCTCAGTTTATGGCGGTTAAAACTGGTTCTCTGCTGCAAAGATCTTGCGGCAGCGGTGACACCACGCCTCCACGCAACAAGCAGGGAGCAGGGATTGGAGCAGAGCACAGGCAGCCTCTAAATGTGCAGGTTTTCCCCACACCAACAGGCGTGTCAGTCAAAGTGCCTCGGCGTGTCACGAGTGACACGCGTGTCATAGGTTAGCCATCACTGATCTAACCCATTTCAAGTTTAAGTCCCATCCAGCCCCAAGCCTTAGTTCTTATAAGATAAAGAACTGCTTTTACTGCCTCCCCCCCACTCCCCCAATTTCTGCCCTTTTGGCCATCCTGCATCCTGCCTTTTGACTCTGGTCAACAAGAAGCCCTTTCTTCTGTAGAATGGCACAAAGATGGCAAGGAACACAATAGGCATTTTTGTTCTGCTGGGAAGCTCCAGCTGTACCAATAACATGGTGCAAAACTCAGCCACCCCAGCTAGTCCCAGCTGTAGTCGTCCTCCTCACCCTGCACTCTGATCCCTCTGCCATCTTGCCCTTTTTTGCCCCAGCTGGCCTTTGCTGTCTTCTTGGTGCTGCTGTTGTGGCGTGTCCCAACCAGGCCCTTCACGAATCAGTTTCTGGCTACATCAGGCCATCTCCCCCAGGTCTCCTGAGGATCCACTGTATGTAAACTTGGGAAGAAAGCCTCACATGGTCAGAAGATGCCTCACAAAAGGCCAGGCAGGATATGCTTGGTCAGCACAGTGGGAGAAAGAGGATGGTGAAAGTCAACAAGGGCAGCAGAGACCTGTAGAATGCAGGTGGCCAAAAGATGGGGGGGAGATAGGAAGAGACTTGAAGTACTGAAGCAGTCATAAATTTAAGCGGACTACAAGGTGCCTGAATTTTGATCACATGACCACATGGGTGCTACAATGCCCATAACCTTTAAGGATTTAATCCCTTTGTTCAGCATCACTGCAATTTTGAACTGTTGTTGAATGGATGCTGTATTAAGGTTCTTAAATAAAACTTCTTAAATAAAGAAGCCAGAAAATGATCTTCAACATGGAACAGAAAAACAGGCAACAGTCTGGTTGTGGGAAAGCCATGGCCATACTCCTAAGGGAAGAAGCATTTTAGATTTTTCTTCAGCAGCTGAGCCTATTGTATCTGCCTGACCAAGAGTATTTGGGACATTAACTCTGTTTCCTGGGCAACACATATAATCTATATGTAATTTATATACCTGTTATTAAAGGAATAATGTCCAACAAGTGGCTCTATCTTGACACAATACGATCTAGTATATCTTCCTTTGCCTTGATTCCAGTAGCTATGCTTTGAGAAACTGGAAATGGCTGAAATAAAGAACAAAACTTGGTTAAAGTGGGTAACTCTTTGACTCCTAAGAATTATACTTAACCTTTTGTGGAGCAAAAACATTTAAACCTTCCACAGGTAGCAAGAACAGAAGTAACAATAGTTGATGATTTATTTTAAGCTAGGCCTACTTTAGCATTTACACTACACTTTGCATGCTTTTTCAACTTCCAAATGGCAAAGGGCACAAGCAATTTCCTGTAGGGCTGTGCTATAAGATACTACCCCTTACGTACAACAAACCTTGTACTACTATTATTTGCTTATTTCCACATGGAGTTCAATATACTTCTAAATGTTTATTGTTACATGTTATTCAGAAAAAAAATGTTTCATGGACTCAGTGGAAACACACACACACAAGGCTAGTGTTTTTACGTCTATACATAAGGTTACTATTCTCAAATAAATTTTTGGTTTCTAGCTCTGTATTTTGCATTAAGTTTTACATAATGGCACATCTATACCAATGCAGCTTTTTAAAAAAGTATTGAATAATCATTTGAACTTGATCATAGGACATTTGAAGTATTTTAGGAACTTGTTATTAGAATAACAAACAATTTTCTGTACACTTCTAGTTTATGGCATGAATAGATACCTTATTGATACTGGTAGTATATTGTGTGCAGTGCTTATCAGATTTTCAGTATGATGAATATTAAATATAGAACATAATTATCTACAGAGATCAGCGAGCAGGAAAGATCAACGAAAGACTTGTAATTACCTCAGAAATGATAGAGAATATACAATCAGTAAAGGCTTATTGTTGGGAAGATGCAATGGAAAATATGATTGAAAGTCTGCGACAGTAAGTATTTATATTTGTCCATCTTACATGCATGGCATATATGTTGCATAACCCAACAATGAGATAAAAGTTTAGTTTGTAACATAATAGTTGTTGTAATAAAACTGTTGGGTCATGCTGATCCAAACAATTATTTTTACCTGCTGTGCTGTCTGTCTTTGTCTATGTTATGATGGCCTATCTGAATAAAAACTTTGCAAAAATCACTTTACCCAGGAGTCACACCTGGTTCTATATTTTTATCTGGAAATCAGCCATATAATGAATAGAATTCATCTTTCAATAGGTCATTTAGAATAGCATCCTCAACTTTTGCAGCTTGGAGGCCCAGCTGGAGGGGGGGAGAGGGGAACCAGACTGCATAAATGATGAGTTGGAGCACACACATGCGCCTACGCACCTCAAGTCGTGTAAGCGGCAGTCCGGTGCATATGCGCATCCCACATAGCTGGACTGCAAGTTGAGCTGCACATGCATGCATGTGCACCAACTGCCTCTCATGCAGCCCGGTTCCAAATAAGTAACAGCCCAGTAGTGGGTGGTGAGCCGGGGTTGGGGACACTTGATTTAGATCAGGGGTCGCTAACCTTTTGGACCTCAGGGACCACCAAACTCATAATTTTAGATCCCAGGGATCACTAACTGGTTCTGTGGGTGTGGCCTAATTTGTGGGTGTGGCTTAGTCATGTGACTGGCTGGGCGTGGCTTGTATGTAAATATTATATATTTATATAAATATTGATTTTTTTATTAAAAAAGAGCAACTTTTACCCAAAATCAGGCAAAGCAGGCAGGCAGATTGAGTTGCTCACAGAATCACAGATTCATTCAGAGATCTATCTATCTGCCATTGGCTAGCTCAGTCTGTCACATAAAATTTGCTTGCAAGCAAACTCACAAAATTAACTCACAACACACCATACATGTAAATATTGAATTTTTTATAGAAAAAGAGCAACTTTTACCCAAAATCAGGAAAATCAGGCAGATTGAGTTGCTCACAGAATCATTCAATTATCTATCTATCTATCTATCTATCTATCTATCTATCTATCTATCTATCTATCT